AAAAAGCACCAAAAGGTATAATATAGTATTCCAGAGATAAAAAATTATCAATATTTGCAAATAATATGGGAAGGAAAAATCAAATAATACGAAATGATGTCTATGTTTCCTATGGAATTAGTTGATAAATCCAGCATTTAGAACGTCAGAACCCCCCAAAAAGCATCAAAAGGAGTAGTGTTCCAGAAATAAAAGACCGCCAATATTCGCAAATCATATGGGAGGGAAAAACAAAGTGGTACGAAATTATATTTATATTTCCTACGGAATTAGCTGCCGAACCCAAATAATAAGTACGTCAGGTAATTTTTATTATTATGGTGATATTTATTATTAGGGAATCCTAATAATAAATTAAAATATTTAATTAAAAAAAAATGTGTCGATTTCAAAATCAATGAAATGTCTTCATATAATGCAGTAAACATATTGCCGAAAATTGGGTTTCGAAATATATCCTATTAATAAATTGAATTTTTTAATAAAAAAACTAAAATTCTTGTTTTCAAAATCAAATATATTTCCTTATATATTATAATTAATATATTATTAAAAATTAGATTTCGAAGCGGACCCTATTTATAAATTAAAATTCTTAATAAAAAAACTATTTTTTTCGATTAATATTGTCAAATATTGGATTTCGAAGTGGATCCTAACAATATATTTAAAAAAATTATTAAAAAAATATATTTATTCGATTTCAAAAATTAAAATAATATCCTTTTATAGTGGGATTTAAATATTGCCAAAAATTGAATTTCGAAATGGAATTAGAAATTATGTTTATAATTCCTACGAAATTAGTTGATAAATCCATAAAAATTCAATACTTAGAATGTCAGAACCCCCCAAAAACCATCAAAAGGAATAATATTCCAGAAATAAAAAACCACCAATATTTACAAATCATATGGAAGGGAAAAAACAAAATGGTACGAAATTATATTTATATTTCCTATGGAATTAGTTGTCGAACCCAAATAATAATTATATCAGGTAATTTTTATTATAAGGGTGATATTTATTATTAGGAAATCCTAATAATAAATTAAAATAGATAATTTTTTTAAAAAAATATATTAATTTCAAAATTAATGTTTTTATTATATAAGGTATAATAAAAATATTGCTGAAAATTCGGTTTCGAAATATATCTTATTAATAAATTATAATCCTTAATAAAAAAAATAATATTTTTATTTTCAAAATTAAAAAATATCTTATTTAATATAATTAAAATATTGCCAAAAATTAGATTTCGAAGCGGACCCTATTAATA